CCAACAAAGAACCCAAGATTTTAGCGTTCAAGTCATAACTCTTGCGAAACCCTATCGACGACAAGGCGAAACCCCAACGTCGACCAGCGTTAGATCGATCTTATCTATCTAATTCATTGATACCCTATCAGAAGAAGCTGATCAATGGAAGTTTCTGACCGAGAGCTGCAAGCAGTTGAAGAAGATCACAGTAAAAATGGAGGATCTGAAACTGAGAATTATGATTCAGATGACTCGGAAGAAGATCCAACTTACGACATTATCGAAGAAACTCGCTCAAGTTTCTCAAGGTTTTCGATCAACAAGACAAAGTCTCGGTTAGTATTGACTATACTACATCGTTATAAAAGTTTTATCATGAGCTGAAACCAAATTGATTTTTATTTTTTTAATAATGTGTGCAGTACTGTCCAGAAGAAGATGGATTTGGGCAGTGAGGATGAACTGGATGATGCTGAAATAAAGGTGCCCGAACTTGAAGAGAAAGACGAGAAAAGCTTTGAAAAGGTCCAAAAACTCATCCAAGGTTAGTCAAATTATTTCTTCTGTCATAGCGAAAAAACAGAAGTTCCCATTTCCTTCTTTTTCATTTATTTCACCAGTATTTAGGTACAATCAACTCTGTATTCCTTGTCACTTTTTTGTGCTTATCATGACAAGTACACCAAAGGTGGCACTATGGAAGTTGTTAAGCCCATTTGAGGTTTCTGTTGGGATTTACTAGGGTTCTTGGGATTTCAGAAAGAGTTTACTGTTTGATTGGGTGGAAGTAGAGAAACGTGTCTATGAGATTACATGCATCATCATCATCCAAGCCTTAATGCAATCATATGGGGGTCGGCTACATGAACCCTCTTTAGTCATTCTGTTATGTTTAATGCCATATCCGTTGTTAAATTAGGGTTTAGATGCCTATCAATTGATGGGAAATGATATTTGAACGTTTTTCTTCTAGCAGTTTGTGCTTATGCTGCAAAGGATGAAGAAAAGTTCAATTATAATGTTTTGATGAATTTCATTGGAATTTGTTCAACGTAATGATTATTGGATTAGAAAAGGAAAAAAAAACTGAGCTCATATAAGGAGGTTTCCAGTTTCCACTGGAATTCTCAAATAAACAATTTTTATTTTGTTCACAATTTTTGTTTATTTTCTTTTAATTGATGCTAACAGCTGGTAAACTGGAGAAATTAAAAGTTGAAGATTGTAAGGTGTATTTGAGGAAGAATGGGCTCAGATTAACCGGAAAAAAGGATCTTCTTATCCAGCGCATCAGAGAGCACCTTGAGTAATATTTTTTTCTTCATTGTTTTAATTATGACCAGTTATAATTATCCTGCCCATCAGAGATCACCTTGACAATCTTTATTGTCCACTGATTTTCCATTTGCTTTCTCCAATAATGAATTTCAGGATAATGGATGGGGGTGGTGAGAAGAAGTACCCATTATCTAGCTTTGTGTTGAACTGTAAAGGTATCCATCTGGACCATCTGGTACATAGTTTTTTTCCTTCAATTATTAAATTAAAGGAGCATGTCTTATGATTCCTTTTTCGTATTCAATTATTAAATTAAAAGTAGTTGTACTCTAATTTTAAGTTATGTCTCATCCATGAGGTACAGACCTAACTGGGGGAAGAAGTCAAAATGATCAATGGGGGAAATGTTAGCTCTATTTGTTATTTCCGCATCATGTTATTTTATCATCAAAAAAAAAAAAAATAGTTACAAGTACATGATCTGTTATAGCTCTAAATTTCTTTTACTTTATCTTTTTCTTGCTTTTGTCTTTCTTTTAATAATGTTGTGCTTTTATACAGGAGACGCATGCACTGGAGATGTGGTAATGTTTGAGCAAAATGTTTATGAAATGTAAGCTTTTGCACCATTAGCTGATGAAACTTGAAATTCAGTGCCCTTAATTAATGCTGTACCATTAGCTAAAATGGAATTTAAAACACAGTACCTTTCTCCACATTACAAATATTTCACCATTAGAGTGTCATTTCCCAATTTTAGCCCTATCTATCAGGGTCTTGGGAGGGTTTAACTGGATTTGAACCTAACCTTTTTGCATTTTTTACACAAAATGGCCAATCTCAAGCTCAAAACTGTTCATACTCTTCTCACGCTTGTCAGCCTCCTGAGTTTTTCCCACAGCAAATAGCAATGACCCCTACCAATGTTGCATTGTTGACTGGTATAATTTAGAATCCAGTACCCTTATCCACATTATGAATGATGTTTTAATATTCTCGAGTCTCTACCAAACAAGGGGAACATTGCTTGGTGTAATGTTAAAGTCCCGGGCTCACAAGTATGAGAACATGGATTCAAGTCCACCCCTCCCAAGACTCTAAATTACAGGGGTGAACATCAGGTAATGGTTCTTTGTGTCTCTACCAAACACAAATTTGATATCTTTATTGAGTTTGATCCCCTAAATTGATAGGTTCTTGCATATCACCATTGAGTTTGGTCCTGAATGCTTAAACTAGAGATCAAGCTTCAAGTTCATATCAGTGATCACAAACTAAATGCTTTCTCCATCCGTATTTTTTAAACCTACCGCGGCATTCTTCTTTTCAACAGATTTTGGTATTGTTCAGGATGATTGTATGCAGCTAAAAACTCAATTGTCACAAGTATAATGCTCTCTTCATCTTAATGTCTTTAACTAATTGAATTTGATCGGATATTTTTTGTTTTTGGGCAGTGGTCCATAAAACCATATTTGACAGATTTATATAATCTGATTAAGTAATTTTCAGTATATGTGGTTTGGATTCAGTAGATTGGTCCTGTAGAAAAAACAAGTGCGTTTCAGTAAAGAAATAATGTTTGAAAAATATGACTTCACATTGTTGCCTAATTTCTTCTTTGTCTGGTTTTCTTAAAGTTTCCCTTCTCTTTCTGTATTTTGGTTTGTCCAGGTATAATATAGCATCTAGGAGTGCCACAGGTCCTTCTATTGGTACTAGGACTGTTGTCGGCCGTATTGTGAAAGAAAGCTATGGTGCTGCCAAGCAACAACACACCTTCACGGTTAGATTGATGTTTTCCCATTCATGTTTCAAATGAAGATTTTAAGAGTTCCTTTTTCTTGTTTATTGAAGATTGGAGTATCTCAATCAATTAGATAAATAATACTCCAGTTAGATACAGTGTTTTAAAAGGCGTGGGAGGCGTACGCCTGGAGGCGCGCCCAAAACGCCCTAAGGCGTATGCCTGAGGCACTGATACCTCTGAGGCATACGCCTCTTGCGCTTTTTTCATGAGGCGTACGCCTCTTGCGCCTCATGCACACCTGATATGAAAATACTTAAAAAAAAAAGAAAAAGAAAAAAAGGAAAGGAAAGGAAAGGAAAAGAAAAGAAAGGGAAAGAAAAGGAAAGAAAAGGAAAGGAAAGGAAAAGAAAAGAAAGGGAAAAGAAAAGGAAAGGAAAGAGAAGAAAAAAAGAGAAAAGGAAAGAAAAGAAAAGGAAAGGGAAGGGAAGAAAAGACAAGGGGAAAGAAAATGGTTTGCCCCCTGCCACTTCGCTCGCTCGCCTTCGCTTCGACAAGACCCCCCCCCCCCCTTTGAACTACTATTATGCATCTTTATTCTTCTTAACATAAAAGATTTATATTAAAAATAAAGAAAAAATGAGATCCCCCCTTCCTCTTCATCCTCCTCCTAACCCCCTTCCTCTTAAAAAGGCTTACACCTCCTTGTGTTCGGGAGGCTTACGCCTCTTGCGTTCTGAATTACGCCTCACGCCTCTAGGTAGTGGAACGCCTCACGTCACGCCTCCGCATTTTAAAACATTGGTTAGATGAAAAATAGGTTGAAGTTGAACTTCTGTTATGGAGGGTTACCTTATGTTATTATATCATGTTTAGAAGTTTTAAAATTTCATTTTACTTTGTATAAATTGCTATGTTTGATTTCTATGATCAGATTGAAGTGCTGTGGAGCAAAGGGGTCAAACCACTCCCACCACTTCATCCCCTTCTCATCAAGGGAAGGAATCTCTATAAGCTCAAGACAATGAGGCAGGTCGGTTGGATCCAAAACAAAAATATGTGTTTACTTGCATCCCTCTCTTTCAACTTTTTTTCCCAGTTGCATAACTCTTCTATGTTATTAATGCTGATCATCCTGCAAAAATTTAGGTATGGAGCAATGAAGAGGAAAGAAGGAAAATTTTGCTTGAAAAGCATTCAAGAGGTTCTATTGCTAGATCCAAGAGAGAGGCTAGGATTCAAGAGAAGGAAACAAGGAAGAAAATTCGAGAGGGTCAAAGGTGATTTTTGTGAGCTTTCTTTTTTATACTTTTTCCATTTCTTGAGAATCTAAGCCATTAGCTTGCTAGATTGAAAATATGTACCTAGTTTAGTAAAGATACATCCTTGGATGGCCCCTGTTCAAGTTACTCTTTTCTCTGTGGAAAATGAAACAGCTCTAAAACCCACTGTATGCAGCTCAACTCAACTCTACAAAGCATTAATCCCAACTGTTTGCCGTTGGCTTTTGCCCCAAAATGTTTCTACCTGTTATTTAATTTTAAAAGGTGTCAATTGTTTCAATTAATGGATTTAATTTAGATTGCCAGAAATTTATTGTTTCTATCAAAATTTCCCTACATCATCCAGTCCAAGCTGTTTTACATTATGGTTAATTGATTATTAGCTGCTAAAGTTGTCTATTTTAAATCCACAGCATTGCAAGAAAGGAGACCGGCACCATCCGGAGTATACAGTCTCGAGAACAGCAGCAGCAGCCCCACATGGGAAAAGTTAGTCCCCAAGAGCAACCTCCAAAATCTGACTTCATTGAGGTCATCCAACATCAGTGTGCCATCCCCCAAAGTTTCACTGGGATCTTCCAACGTCAACCTCAAGCCACTCCTACTGAACCAATGGGCCTCCAGAGCAGACATATTAGAGACCAGCGGACTACCAACATTCCTGACATCCGGAATCAGCAGAGTAAAGGATTTCCTATTGCCAGCAGGCAGCACCCACATGCAAATGAGCAACCATCAGAGAGGTTCCATCACAGGCAGCCATTGGCAAGCTTGAATTCTTATTTTCCCCAGAGGACATTGCAGAGGCAAGGCTGTTTGCAACTGCAGCCATGCTGGTTCTATCCTCAAGGGAGGTGTCGTTATGGAGACAGATGCAAGTATTTACATGATTAAAGAGAAGCCTACATGGTGAGGCGGGTACAAGGAGAATTTCACTTGTTAATAACCTACGTGCTTGTTTTTTTATTTTGAGGCTGGGCAAAACGAAGGGAGTTTCACTTGTTATATATAGAATGTTTTTAGAAATTAAAACTTCTTCAGCTGGCTTGCTGAATTTTTGGTATCCATTGAGATCTAACTCCGAAGTCGGACCTCTATTTTGAGTATGTTGTGTGGATTCTCTCTTACTTGTGATGTTCTCTCTCTCTGGATCATGCGGCAATTAAATGCAGAGAGTTGAGGCGTGGAGAAATTGATATCAACTCTGCAAACTAATGCATAGATCGACTTCTAATGAGACCAAAGAAAAGCTTTTGGATCTCTTCTGAAAATGGAACATTACTTGTTCCTTCCACTGTGTTTGTTTGCAATGCAAATCTAAACCAGATACAAAATTTGCACCTGGTTTGGTTATGCATCTGCTTGTAACTATGATTTGCACTCCTACATGATGCAAAATTTCTAATTTCATAGTTTCATTTGCACTAGTTTTGTATCTCAAAACTGATGCAAAATTTGCAGCATCTTCTTTCTACCCAATTATCTCTCAAATGAAGTGGGGACCATAGCATCTTGCTTCCTACCTCACCTCCAAACAAATAACCCTCTAAATACCTCCATTTTCTGTCATAAAGTGGGGGCCACTTCATTCTATTTCTCATAAACAAACAATACAAAGCCAAATCTAAAGCAAAAGTAAACCACACTCAGCCTATTTGCACTCTCATACATTTTCACGAGGAAAAAAACAAGGGAAAATTCCTGATCAATAACCTGTACTTAAGGGGTTGTTTCAAGTCAGTCCCCGAACTTCAAAATGTGTCTCTACGATACTTGAACTTTCAAAATCTGTCTAATAGATCCCTGCCGCTAACAGCCCACCAGTTATTTGTATCACGTGATGACATATGCCACTTAAAACTTTTGAAAATGTCAAAACTGCCCTTGAAAGAAGACACTGTTTATTGTGTTCTACTTTGAGACTGAAACATTAATTTTTTGTAGAAAGTGCTAGGTCAACATTAAGGTATATCTGGATTCTGGAATCACTTTTCTCAAGTTAGTGCTTCATCCCATGTAACCGGGAATGCCTTTGATAGACCTTCATTAAGAAAGTCTGAGAGTCTTTCTGACAAACGTGTAAAAGTTTCTGTCAACTTTGCCGCCAGTTGTGATTCATCCCTGATAGTCTTCCTTCTGTTTTCTTTGATAGCAGTATTCTTAGAGTCTTCCAAAACAATGGGGTTAACACTTCGGTCCTGTTATGCAGGAAAAAACCATTTATCAACACCTTTAGCTGCAGATTTTATCTGCTTAGATAATACATTGCTATTGGAAGACAGCTCAATTTTCTTTGATTCCATACCCTGTTTGCTCAATCCAGCACCTCTAACTTCAAGAATCCAAGCATCAAATCCTTGGCTTGCCATGTAACGTGTAAAAGAAGACTGCAGACAGTTCTTAGTCAATACTAACAGGTTGAAAAAAAATAAATGCTAAACCCTAGTTTTTTTTTCTTGTTGCATAGATAAAGAAAAATACTAGGTTGGATTCAACCCATGTACTGGACTCACTTTTCTCATAAATACTACCTTGATTTCTATCAGGGACTTCCCTCTATAAAAAGCTATGTTGTTCAATTCAATCCCACCTAATACTCATTTTCTGAGTACAACTCTGCTTGCTTTCAACTCTCCTTCGGTGAAAAGAATTTTGTTTTTGTTCTTTGGAAGCTTTTGAAAGCTCAGATTTCTGGTCAAAATTTGCTTCAGACACAGTAACTGAATGGACCATTTACTGGTCCTGGGAGTGTCTTATCTGCAGGAATTCAACATTAACGAACGCCACGGTCACTGCATTTAAAACGCTACCAATTCAAGCTGCTTGTCTCTTGAATTGGTTTATGTGGAAGTGGTAGACATTTGATAGGTATTTTTGTCATTTTACTTATTAACTTATTAGATAGTTTTTGAAAGTTCAGATATTGGGAATTGTTTTAAAGTTCAAGGCCTGARTTGACACAATCGTACAGGGTAAGAATTTTCAAAAAAATAAGGATTTTTGAACTACAATAATAAAACAGCAAGGACAAAAGAACCCATTTCCTCTAATACCCATTTAATTGCTGCCACGAATTGGGTAACGAGCATCCCATACAAGATATATTGAGTGAACACTTAGGCTCTATTTGTTTACTGAGAAAGGGATGAGAAAAGGGAATATTCCCGAATGATTCTCCCTTTCTTGTGTTTGCTTGTTGGTAAACAGTATTTTGGGATGAGAAATAAGAGGAACGCGGGATCCCAAAATTAAGTGAGCGGGATCGCACCAAAACAGTGTTGCCCCGATGAGAAAAAAAAACGCTAAGAAAATTGCTCGGGCTTTGTCAGAGCAAGAAGTCGATAATCTCCTCTCCCTTCGAAGTAGCAATCCAACGGCCATTTCTCCGGTAGCTTCTTCGGCCATCTCTTTGAAATGTAACACAAGATCCATGAATCTCTCTCTCTAGCGGTCCTGTTCTACCCTTTTTTGTTGTTTTTCGGTCCATAATTCTTTCTTCCCCAACCCCATGTTTTTCCCCTCAGTGGCTGGAAGCTCATCTATAGGGGTTTTACTTACAGCAGCAGGAACAACGGAAGGCTGAACACCGCCCCTTAAACTCAGAGAAGTGTGTTTTCTTTCTGATGTCATTGTTGATCCAAGACAAAATCTTGAGATAGAAAAACCATCTTCACTCTTTGAATCGAAGAACATCTTTCCACGTTGCAGGCAAGTTTTTCTTCTTCTTCTTTTTCTTTTTTTTTTTTCTTTTTGTTCAGAAGGTTAAATGTAGTTAGAAGATCTTGGCTTTCTTTTGGATATATTTTTGATGATTATAAATAGAAATAGGGCCATTTTTGGAAGGATCGGATGAAAATCCACATATTGRCTTTGGATCTACTAGAGAGATCCTTGTTTGGAGATAAAATGACTTATGCGACGAGAAATTATTTATGTGCTTAGGGTGTTTTTGATGGTTTGAGTTGTGATGATATATGGTGCTTGTTTATGAAATCGATGGAAGCTTGACGTTCCAATCAGACTTCTTCCGAAACATTTTGTCTTGCTTATTTTTATTCCTTTCAGGACAGGTGTATCCCAAACTAAGCTTCAGGGTCTGATGTAGTTAAGAAACTGATGGAAAAAGCGATTATGTCCTTTCACTCAGTCTTAAACTAAGATAGATTTTAATGGGATTATTTGAGGTATTTTAGGGTGACTGAGTTAGGACTTTTCTGTATGGATTTTGTCTTTATTGGTATCTATGTATGTTTAGCATACTCTGTTTATGTTGGAATTGATGCTACAATGATTTATTCCTGATCCACAAATCTACCTGCTTTACTCTACAATCTGCTTGTAGCTTAATTAGATTAAGAGCGAATTCTACAAATCCACCATCAATGTGTTTCTAGTTTGTACTATTGATATTACCTTCCAATTGGGTGTAATGCTCACCACCTATAAAACAAGAAACAATATTCCTTTTGATCATTAGCAAGGGCAAGGAGATCTTAATTAATACTAAGTGAACTACAGTACATCAACTTTTAATCTGGGAGAGCACCACTACAAGTACAAAAAACTAAATACAACGACAAAGCACTCAAACACATTTTGTCAACCATCATACATTCATCTTGTTACCATTCAGTACTTTTCTTCTTCATCAAGTCCAGAAGGCCTAAAGTATATATCAGTTGCAATTCCTGGAGCAATCTCTTCTCTGATGGACTCATTCCTATGGGTCCTGATTAGGCTAATATTGTTACAACTTGGTGCCTAATAGCCCTAACCCATTGAGGCCATCTTCTCTTCCTTCTTCTTCTTCTACACATGGTAAATGGGTCGGAACAAGGAAATTTTCACACAACACAAGAAGCCTCCACTCAAGACATACGGTATTTTTCTATCTGTATTTTGTTTGGATTCATTTTATTGCAGGTATAAGATATTTGGGTTTTGTTTTTTCTCTCTTCCTGTGATATGTAATGGTGCTCCGGAAGTTTTTTTTTTTTTTCTTTCTTGTTTTCGGTTTAGGATGGGCAAATTTCTGGGTTATGCATGGGCGTTGGGTTTGGTCGTTCTTATTTGGAATGAGCTCTGCCATTTTGCAATTTTTTTTTTAATTTCTTTCTTGAAGTAATGTTTCTTGATTGTATGATGAATAATGGAGCATTGGTATGTTTTTGCACTTTTGATGGGATTCTAAAATCTCATTTTTTCTTTAGTCTGAAAATTTTTTCTATTTCGCATCTACAAGAAAATAGATATACCTTTTGAATTGCCGTTCGTTGCTTATTTTGGTGGTATGTTTTAACTCTGTAGTTTATTTTGGTTATAAAAACACTGGTGTCTTCTACTATGTTTCACCAAAAAAATGTCTTCTGCTATGAAGAGTCCCCTCCATCCCCACCATGTTTACTACATGGGTCGCTAGGCCTGGGGGTGTACACAAAAAGGTTCTATATGAACCGAGCAGGTAAAGAAAGGTTCTACAGGGGGAAGTCAAAATCTTTTAGTTTCGGTTAAAGAAACTAAACATACACCAACTTTTGTATGGGCTTSTATTGTATCTTTCATGGATGACAAGATGTTTTTTTTCTCAGATTTTGCCAACTGCATGTTGCTTTCTTATTTAGTGTATTCATGGTACACTAAAAGGTGGCAAGGCTTGACCCAATGGGCCAACCTGTCTTCCACGGTYCCACTTGCATGACAATAGATGTTTGGGCTAGTACATTCCTCCCAAATGATTAATGGTTCTGATTAGGGTGATACTCTGATATTTTGTCAGTCTAAAACTGATTTACCTGATCCAACCAGGTAAATATTTCAACAACCTGGCTTACCTGTGCTACTTAATAATGAGTTTTATCCCACCCAACATGGGTTTCATATTTTTGGTCAGATGGTTGATGATTCTTTTGGTCCATCCAAAGCCAAGAATCCATGTCATATGTTTGATTTGTGGATGACTCAGTGGCTGATATGATCAGTTGGCACCCCTGCTAGTAAGTTCAGGATTAAACCTGCTCTGCTGAATTGCAGGAACCATGCATATAGTATATGACCTGGGCCTCTCGTTTTAGGTGATTAGAAGAATTTAGTGATTGCATTAAAATTTGGGAATTTGGGATTAAGGCTGACCTTTGGGGGTCTTTCTTTTGAGACTTGAAAGGAAATAATAACTCGGTCTGACCAAAGAAGGGTAAAAAAATGCAATTATTGTTTGATTAGTAACAGTGAAGGGAGTAAACTTATTCATGGTTAATGGTTGCTCTTATTTTTTTTCATTGACTACTTTTCCAGCATGTAAATTATATAGGCATTTTAGAATGAATTYCCCAATTTATTTATTTATTTGTTTGTTTTCTATGAATAGATGGAGCAAAATTTGCTTTATGCAATTGTTGGGGCTGCAACTGCTACGGTTGCAGTTACATTTTCAATGTTGCAAGAATATGTGGATTATATTGATAGGGAACCATCTGTGAACTGGGATTTTGAATGAAGGAATTTATTGGATAGATTATATGGACAAAAAGATTATTCGTGAGATAGGAAGACTACATGATACAATGAGGTGCACGGTAAAAGAACAAGTGGCACGCTTCCTACACATACTGGCACACAACGTTAGGAATAGAACAATGGGCTTTCATTTCAGTCCGTCTGGTGAGATTGTGAGCCGTCATTTCAACAACGTATTGAATGCTTTGTTGAGCTTGGAGGATAGGTACTTGATTCAACCAAGTGGTACTGAAACACCTCCAGAAATTAGAAACCGACATGATTTTTGGCCATATTTCAAGGTAATTAAGTGATAAAGTCTTCTTTATGACGTATACACCCATAAA